ATAAGAAACCCTGCTATCTAAAACCTTCTGTGGTTTATCCTCAGCTACCCATACAGTTATATGTTAATACTGTATGTGGAGTGGTCATTTGTAGATGATTAATAAACTTTTAACCTAATCCCAGCCCAGGGTTAGGGCTAAGAGTAGGTTTTGGGTAGAGTTTAAGTTTAGGGTTAGGATTAGGGCCAGGGTGAAAGTTAGGTTGTGGGTAAGGTTGGTAACGTTGGGTTTTGCAAGCAACATATTATCAACACATCTACTTAATGTAAGTAATGTATCAACAGAACATCTACAAGATATTTACTTCAGTGTATTCAGATGCTTCACTGCTGCTACTTCACTGGTGTGTTGTTGATGTGTTACTGATACTCAGTTAAGAGTTTGTTGATCATCTACAAAGGACCACTCCAAATAAAGTGTATCCAATTTGTCTACCTCAAATATGATCAGGCTTATTTGGAAAGGACGGAATTGGAGGGGTAAGACTGTGGACACATTTGAAGAATAGAAAACACAGAAGTAAACTGCACAAGCTCATCTTTGTGTTCATAGTGGGGACAGCAGATCAAAGATTAAACATGTGTGACTCTGTGCATGATACATATATATTTATATATATTTACTGGCTACAATTTGGGAGAGACAAATGTAGGATAGTACATGTAAGGTATTTGCTGTGTGATACCAACATATGTTTCTCCACTGTCATGTGGACCCTTAGTGCCGAATATAGGATATAATTTAAACCAACAGACTCGGGAGTTAGTCACGCATCCCATGGAAACATTTCATGGATACATTATTGGAAAGGGTGAGGACTCGACTACTTGGGTTGCTGTTATGTAATGTAATTTTAAAAAAGGTGGTTTAACATTACATTAATAACTGTGGGCTGGACAAATTGTTCAGGACTGGCATCAAAATATCACTGCTGCTGGAACAAAACATTGTATTTCCATTTTTATCATCAAATACCTGTTGTTCTTTACATTATGTGTGAATTTCATGATGAATGGACCAAAATAAACATCCCAAAATGGCTTAGAAAAAAATCTGGTTCTATTGACTTACATTAAAAGTAAAGTATAGTTTTTTCTTCTCCTGTAAAGTTACCATTTTAGAGATACAAGTTTTTGTTCTGACAGCAGCGACAGGCAGGAAATCTGTCTACAGTCTATAAAACTTCATATAAACACAAAGGTCAACCAAAGTTTTAGTTACTGCAAATTTGAAAGAAAAATTAACTGATGGTCTGGAACCACATTAATTTTTATGGTCTCACTCTCCACCTCCATGTTGTGTTGATCATCTCTCTCATCTCCAGTATAAACATGAGCCAGAAATTAAATTCAGTAAGCTGCTTTATTTATTTATATATATATATATATATATATATATATATATATATATATATATATATATTAGTTAACAGTCACTACTGAAACACAATGTTCATTACAGTATTTAGTTTTTGTGAGATATATTTGTATAATAAGATCCATCTGTCAAGAACTGCTGTGCCATTTACTGTGTCATTGGCTTTCATGCACTCTTATTGTAGCTTTTGGCCTTGTCTCTGCGCTGCTCCCTCAACTTCCCATTAGTGTTCCCATCTGTGTGTAGTCTGTAGCTCCACCCACTCATTAGTCTCAGGTGTTTCTAGTTCATTCTGAGTGTATTAATACCCTGGTGGTTTGTCTTGCCTTTGCTCGGTGTTGTTGTTTCCAGGCCTTGCTTAGTGTTTGTGGTTGTATCTGCTCAGTCTTTTGTTTCCTTTTAGGTTGAACATCTTATTTCTTGTGCCTTTTTAGTCTCGTTCTTAGTTACTCTTGTGGATTTCTTTCATTTTCATCAAGGATTACAATGAAAAACCCAGACTCACACTTGCATCTTACCCCCTCGCCTCCCTCAACATTGCACCATCGGCCGATGTGGTCAAAAAAGCATATTGTGACATACTTTATCACAACAACAATAAACTTTCAGCATTTTGCACACATCACACTTCACTGTGTACGTTTTGTGGATTTGGAGACCCCTCTGGTGAAAATCTGTAATTGCATGAACATTTATAGCATCAGTTATGCTTTAAATGCTTTTGCACTAGTTACAGTGCTTTGGACCCCTTCCATCGGGGGACGAATGTGATGATTGCGAGTACCTTGAAAGAGTATAAAGTACAACCAGCTTCTAAGACTGAACTTTGGAGGTGTGTCTGCAGATTCTTTGAGAAGCTGAAAGTGAGTCTCCTGAAAAGAATGGCAGCTAGAATGAAGAGAGAGAGCGACTCACTGAACACTGATTTAATCTGATATCTGATTTAGTCGATGAGGCTTCTGTGTACATGTCTGTTAGATGTGCTTTCTGCTTTTTTCTGAAAAAAGGCAGTTCGCACAGGAAATAAAAAAAAAGAAGAAAGAAAATGAAGGGGGGGAGGGGGGTCTCTATCTTTTGCACAGTACCATAAATGATTAAATCTTTGCAGATGATGTAAATTGCACATCAGTATTTGTTTAATAGGTTTATAAGACGTATCTTTTTTCAATTCAAGATGAAGTTGATCATTTTCTAAGTGAACGTCCTCCATGGAACCAGACGTTCTCCAAGTCATTTCTTTTCATCCATTCATCATGAAATTTTACCACAACGTAAACAGCAATAAGCATTTTCTAATTATATCAAAAACTGAAAATATGATAAAAATAGAGATACCAGGTTTTCTTCTGACAACAGCGATATGTTACATTCAGCCAATAAACCATATTTGTGTATCAAAATGTGCAGAGCTGTGTTTTCAATCTGTGTTAACTTATTTTCAGAAAATCAACTAATCATATGATTTTACCAGGGCACCAAACATTTGCATGTTACTGTATGATTATATTCAAATCACCTTAAAATATAGAATCTGCAAATGAGGGAAATTTGCAGTTCAGCAAACTCAGCATTTGGTGGTTGGGAACAAGAATGACTGTACCTGAAAACTATGTTTTGGTGGGAATCCACAGTGCAGACTGACACAGCAGCACATTTAATTCACTTTGTCCTCTGTCCAAATTGTCTTACATCAGTTGTTCCAATTGGCTTTCACCGATTAACCTCTTAAACACCTTGGAAACCACCGGACGCACTTCATCATATTCTTCATAACGTTCATATTTCATGAGCTACATTCAAAAGGTGGGGGTCATATGAGGCTGTAACTGTCTTCTTTCCAGTCAAATAGATGGGTGATGTCATTTTAAAACCTTATAATAAAAGAATCTGGACTCACGTTTTTTTTTCTACTGAAAGTCGACCCATTTTTTCCACAAATCTGGGCTATAAACTATAAACAGATGGCGTCTCTTCAGTGATCTGCTCTGTAAAAATTATTTTTATAAAATAATACAAAGAGCATCTAAGATTTTTGGCTTTCAGCAGTGAATTGTAAGCATATAGCAATATGTGGATGATTATGGATATGCAGTCATGGGCTGGAGTTTAGGGAACCACAGTACATGACAGTACATGACTGAGGATCCCCATTAATGACATTTATTCCATGCAGTTACTGAATAATTTGACTTATGATTTGGTCATGTAAATTCAGATGGACAAACCAAAATATACCCACGAGCATAAGCAGTCTATTATTTATAAGTTAAATACAAAAATAAGAGACTGTAACAATATTAATCCATCTGAATCTGTTTTTAAAAGATTGTGAAACAACAGCAGAAATTCAGAACGATGTGAAACAATATTGCTCAACAAATTTATTAAAACTTGAAGCTGGTTTGGCCATAAATCAAATTTGTGTAATTAAAATATCTCCTTAGCAGTGATCAGTATTGTGTTGCCCATTTTGGGTTGCATAAGCACATTATTACACCTTCTGCATCTTTATAAAGTGAAAAAAATGAGTGTATGCTTTTCCTGTAATGCCACATGTTTTGCTAAATTGTTACCTGTGATTGTATATTTGAACACTAGATGACAGCATTGTAACATTAATAATAGCTGGAAAGAGCCAGCAAGACTTACACAAGGATGCACCAAGATAAAGATTAGGGAACTGATTAAACACGCTGAAATGTTGGTGCATAAACTCATCCAGCTGATGAATTAAACCAATAATAATGCATATGTAGAGCACAATTTGTGAATAACAAAGCCCGAGAAAGCTAAGTAGTGCTAAGTAGGCAGGTTGATGGGTCAGAGGAAGACCTGAAATGAAAATAAAAACAAAAACAAGCAAGAAAACAAACAAACAAAAAGCAGATGAGCAGCTTTTTAAGCATAACAAGTGAAAAATCCATCGTCACAATGTTGTGATTCGTCTCATTTATGAGTGATAAACAGAGTCTGTCTTGTTTTAATTACCATTTTGTCACTGCACTCCAAACAGGAAATGAAAGTGAAAGTGTGTGCCTGCCACCTTTCTTTGAAATCATCCACACACACACACACACTTTAATGACATCACCTCAAAGAAGCCATTTTGATCACCTGATCTCATTTAGGAAATAAACACAATGCACGGTAACACTTTATTTGCATGGTCCACTGGAGATGCTTCGTAAATGCTCAGTATATCTTTAAGTAAAATTCAACTAAATATCTATTAAATGTAACTGAACTTCAAGTTAGTATGAAAGATTTTATTAAATCTATTTCTCAAGACAAAACCTACATCTAGTCCTAACCCCAAATATAACCATACGGTTGTTGATAATCAACTGAAAGTTTGTTAGTGATTTAGGTATCTGTCCATCCAAATAAAGTGTGACCTATACAGTATATATCACATTCATTTTTATATCAGTGACAATGGCAAGGAATGGCAAAGCAAAGAGAATATTGACACAAAATAGATCAAGAAGAAAGCATCAAACAAGTACAAATTTCCTGTATTCTGAAATACTTACAGTGTTTTTGCCCTGTTAAATGAATTCTGACACTTAATTTGCTACCCAATGTTAAATTATCTCGACTACATTAAAAATGCAGGTCACGTTTTAAATGTACTCTAAGTATTTGGTACACAGTCCATTTGCAGTATGTCATGAAAAAAAAATAGAACTTGGAATGCATTTTTTATTGAAACACAACATATATGAAAGGCATTTAACATGTAAAAAATGAAAATACATGCAGTGTATTTCCATATGATGATTATGAGATTTTAGCGCTGTACTAATTCCTCTTTTCCCTCAGCACTAAAAGCATTTCACTTCGCAAACAGCAGAAAACCACTGAAATTGCAATGGTTGTCACTGTTGTCATTAATCTGACTGTTACTTCTGAGCATAACATACACATGATCTCCTTTCTGCAGCAGCAGAGTGGCTCCACCAATGGCGTACTTATATGTTCCTTTCGGGTATTCAGTCACGTCTAAAACTTTCTCTTCATTTTTGTACAAACATACAGCCAGCATGTGTGAACTGCTGGAACCAAGTACATTAAACCTGAAGTAATAGACTCCTCTGAGTGGAGCAATGAAAACACCTGCAGAAGGAGAAACAGATGGATCAGTACAGAGTCTCTACACCACCAGAGAGAAGAACCAAACCAGACATCAAACCAATCAGTGTCTCTGGAACGACTGTACAGTTACCTGTTATTTTACTGTATGCTTTTCCAAAATTTGTGATTTCTTTTTTGAAAACCAGTATGGTGTCGTTGGGGAGAGGCCCAAGATTCCCATTTAAGCCTGAAGCAAATGAGAACGCCAACTTTGGTGTGTCTGCAAGAAGAAACATGCATATTCTTAGGCTAAATCTGATCTTTCTCCATGTTAAAGGATTTTGAAGACATGATGGAAACATGTAAGAACATTTTGTAGCATGGGCTGTGCTTTGGCCCCCTTCACCGAGTAGAAGAATCAGATGATTGAAAGAGAATTCAAAGAGAACTTGAAGTCAAAACTTGGTAAAGGAGCATCTTCTGAGAATGAGAGTGAATTATCTACTGTTGTCATTGTATCTTCATCAGTATAATGTTGATTATGAGATCATTTGAGACCTAAACATCGAGCCTCACCTTCTTTCTTTTTGAGTCTGTGTGTGTGCCGTTAATACATAAAGATGTGCGACGGATGGAATAATAGAATAATCTTTGACTCTAATGCTGCTCACATGGACCACCGAGAGTACTGATGAAGTACGAACCTGTTTTTTGTTTAAACTGAGGGGCTGACAACTTATGTTCTGAACTAGAACCAGGCTGGTCAGCTAGCTAACAGGCTAAAAGAGCCAACAGCCTAAACACCTCCATCATTATTGCTACAGGCTTGAATTACATTACAGTTAATCTTACTTGTGGTATGATTAACAGTAAAATGGCAGAATAAAAGTCTAAAAATTGTCATTTGAATGGATTGCACGTTTCAAATGTTTGTGTTTCAGTCACTTATAGTGTCAAGCCCAGGCTGAATCCCAAACGGCTCTGTACTCCCTAAATAGTGTTGTAGCTATGAAAGTTTAGAAATTCTAGCCTCTAGAGCCAAACAGTGCATCATTTATCCAGTGTGGATGTGTCTGAATCCCAAATGACTATTTCCTTAGCTGTATTTTGCTCTGTTGGGCTGCAGGATCCAGTGTTTAAACTCCTACGTAGTGCCCTATGTAGGGAGCAGGGAGCCATTTGAGATTCAGCCCCAGTGTATGAAGAGGAGCACTGCTGGATTGGTGCTAAATAAGACTCAGGGTGGTAATTTGTTGACCAAAAAGTGGTTATAAAGCCAAGGTTGTTGAATTAAACAGTGCTTTGTTATCATATGTTCATTGTTATATGACAAAAAGTTAAAAAAAATTCATGAAATGACCGCAATATACAGCGATAGGCGGCTGAACATTCTCCTCATTCAGTGGTCCATGGTTGCTTGGCAACCATACCAAACTGTAAAGGAACTAATGGAATTTTAATTGATTCCTATCAATTATGATCAATAATAACTTAAATTCTTTTCGAAAAAATGTGTATTTTATGTTGGCATGTTTTATAAAAGCAATAAGCCACTCGAGGCTGTGTGCTACTGCGATTTTATCTCCGCTTTGCGTTGTGCCTAACAACACCCTTCCCTGTGATATATAAACATCTTTGTTTGGTCTCAGGCTTTGAGAAATCTCTGAGTTCTGAGCCGTGATCCAAAGTGCTGGTATTTGTAGTGTTGGTATTTTTCTGTGTTTGACTCTAACCTGTTCCCCTGAATCAATTTTCCTTGTGTGAACCTTCCTGCCTGTTATTTGACCCCTGTCTGTGATGTACTATGTTTGCCCTTAATACAATTACTCTGCAAGCTGAGTACAAACCTTTTTGTTACTTTGGCATATGTTTATTTTGAGGTTTATGCAGAAACATCATGTTGCTCAAGTATTTGAGAAATGATGATGAACCACACATGTAAGTCTTACTTGCGTTCTCCTCTCTCAGTGCTTCCACACCCACTTCAGTAGAGACCACTCTCCCCTCCAAAGCTGTCAAACACAAACAAATAAAAAACAGGATGTGAAATGTTGTTATTCAATGTTCTGAATGTCTTGTTCTTTGATTTAATATATGCATGTGTTGAATGTGTGTTATTTTGTCATAGTGCAGGTTTAGTACGGGGGGGTTAAGTGTCTACCATGAAGCAGAGTCGCATGGCTAGAAGTGACCTTCCCTGCAAACAGGCTGTTGTGTGTGTACTATTTCCGATGGTGTAATAAAGACGACATTTTGGCCTATCCTGTGTCTTTTTCTTTACCAAGATGCTTCACTATGTATGTAAAGCTTTGTGAAACATATAGATTGAGCAAAAGAGGTCAAATTTCAGGTCTGTCATTTACTGATGAGTTAAACTCTGTAGTTTAGATTTGATTAGAAAGTTATGGTTCTGATATTAAAGATCTGAGAAATGTTTTGCAGGTTGTATGAATTAAACAAAATGTTTTGCTTATGTATTAATTTCTTTTTCATAAGAAGCTAAAAGCTAATGACCCAGCAGTAAATTTAGTTCAGTACAATGTTTTTTTTTCCTACCAGAATTCACTTGATTCAACTTCAGAACAGCAAAAAAAATGGTATCTTGTTAAGTAAAATGATCTTAAATCTAGTTGATGTATCTAACATTTCCCATTTTGTGATGGTTGTGCACTTATTATAAGATTATTTAGCTTATTTTTAGATATTTTTCACTTGTTTTCAGTCATTTTATTAAGTAACATTCTAAAACTATTTTTTGCAGTGAGCAATTTTTGTTTGTGGCTTTAACATTAAGACAACAGAAACAATACTACAGTGAAAAGATCATAAACAGTATAAATGTCTGTGAATCATTATGTCTTTACAAACATTATAAACAGCATGAAACAATGTGGACCGGAAGATTAAAAAAAAAGCTAAAATGTTCAAATAAATTTTCTTAAAATCTCCAAATTTGCAGAGTCGTTTAACTTTAATCAACGTTCATTTAGGGTTTTTATCTTGAGCAAGACATTTCATAGTTTGTGAAAAATGCGTTTGGAACTTTTTCATTTCAGATCATTTGACTTACCTCTGTTTTGTTTCTTCAGCTCTTCAATCTGGCTTTGATAGAACTGCAGCAGCTCCTTCTGCTCCACCACCATGTCTCTCAGCTCGGTCCACACATCGGGCTGGATGTTGGTTTGGTCTGGCTTTGATCTTTCCAAATGATTGTTGTGCAGAAGCTGCTCGTCCCCCATTATGAGCTGGTCATCAGCTCTCTGGAGTTGAACAGAAGACAAGCAGAACCAAAGCAGAACCACACTGACCCTCATCCTGAGATGTTTTATTTGAGATGTGTGCAGAGTGGAGGAGCTCAGTTGAAAATGGGGTGAATGTAACAGACGATCAGCATCTGATTCTTATATAGTGGAACATGCACAGATGTGCCACACACACCCACACACACACACACACACACACACATCTGGAGAAGAAAATGCAGAAGTAGTGGTTGTTTCACACTTGCAAAAAGAAGATTGCAGAAGCTGATCTGTGTGACTCTGTGAGTGTGGCATCATACCTCAATAAGTAGTTAAAAAAAAAAAGGCTGACTGAGAGGTAAACTGTGAAATTTCTTCCCTTATAGAAATTCCATGATGTACTGTGAGTGTATTAGTGAAAACTGGAAGGGTTTAGGAATCACAGCAACTCAGCCATGAAGTGTCAGACCACGTAAAGTTACAGAGCAGGTCGCCGAGCGCTGAAGAGCATAGAGCATAAAAGTCTCCAACACTGCTGACTCAGTAACAGAGTTCCAAACCTCCTCTGGCCTCAACGTCAGGTCAGATGGACTACAGTGGACTACAGTCTGTAACTGTAGAACTACAAAGTGCACCTATATAGTAAGTGGAGCTGATAAAATGGACAATGAGCATAGAAACAAGGACATAATGTTATGCCTGATCAGTGTATTTTATAATGGATGAACAGATCTTTGACTTAAATTAGCCCATATAGTGTTCCAATCCTTGGAAGGACCAGTACAGGAAATCTCTCACTCCCACAGTTGTTGCTTAAAATATTCTGGTCTACCAAAGTTTTGTAAATTAACAATACTCTGCCCCATTTATTGTCCAAAGGCCTTATCCAGTCTAGCAAGGGGTGAGAGCTGAGAGTGCTGCCCCAGGAATCTCCATAGGCTCAAAGTGCGGAAAAAAGTTGTAAATAAACAAAATATGAAGAAGCTGAAAGATTAAAAAGCATCTGCAGCTCCTGAAATGACAGCAAACCACTATCGCCGCAATTGTCCGCTACTGTATTCATACCATTCTGCTTGAGAAATGAAATGTCCTCGAGAAGGAGTAGTGAAAGGATACACCAAGTCCTACATTTCTGTCCTTAACACAGCATAGTTAACAATTTAAACGTCCTTCTGGGCCATCAGTGACATCTTTCACACAACATATCCCAAAAGGACCCCTGTACAGGTTATTATTTAAAAAATGATTTGAATTTAATAATCAGGTCAATTTTATGCAAGAAAAGTGACTTGTATGTGTGTGTGTGTGTGTATATATATATACACACAGTCAGCTGTCCTGACATTTTCGTTTAGAATTTGCTGGTACAATAGTGATGGCAAGCTGTCCAGGCCCAGATGCAGCAAACTATGATACTACTACCACCATGTTTCACAGATAGGATGGGTTTTTATGCTGGAATGCAGTGCTTTCCTTTCTCCACACATAAAAAGTAAACTAAAAAAATCTAATTAATACTATTTTGCCTTATGTGTTTAATTTGGTTCTCTTTATTCACTTTTAGGGTCTGATAAAGTTTTAGGTCAAATTTGTGCAGAAATGTAGAAAATTCTACAAGGTCCACAAACTTCCAAGCACCACTGTATACAATGAAACCATGTCTAAATTCCTAGCAGAACTGTGTGGTTCTTTATGGTTGTTGTAGTTACAAGTCAAGAACAAAAACTGCAGTTCCTATTGAAAAAATAATGACCTCTTTATGGTTTTCTCTCTGGAATTGACATTTAAATGTAGTTCTACTGTGTTTACAGTGGCCCAAAGATTTATTTAAATTTCTATTACCAAAAAATAACTCGGCCAGTCAGTCCTTGTAGTTACTGAATACTACATATTTAGACTTGGTGTGTAATAGGCTTGGGATTATAAGGGGTTAAATAGTCAGCAATGATAGACAAACTATCTACTTGTGTTAGTGAAGCATTATCTGACACTGCTAACACCTTCTGTACAGAAGCTGATGAATGGTTCCACACATCGGTTCGTGAAGTGTGAATTTGCAATAAAAAGAAGGGGCAGAGTGGTAGATGCTGAAACTGCAGACGTACTCCGTGGTTTACAGTTCAGCATGACTCAAAATCAATAAATCGACTCCTTGAGAAATGAAATGTCCTCGAGAAGGAGTAGTGAAAGGATATACCAAGCCCTACATTTCTGTCCTTAACACAGCATAGTGACCAATTTAAATGTCCTTCTGGGCCATCAGTGAAATCTTTCACACACTTTTATAGTTTATGATACATTTGGGTCTTATCAGGTGTTTGATACGTCCCTTAACCCTCTATTGCACAATGTTGCCTCAGGGCAACAAACATTCTCCTCACTTTACAATAACATTATACATATTTAAGGACACTGACAGGGTTAACAATAAAGGGCAGATTTTGAGTAAGTCAGTAAAATAGCATGTTTTTGGTCATACTATCTCTTAGAGGGCACTTTCAAACATCCTTTTAACATTCTGTATAATTTTTCAGCTATGTGAACTTGCAAAAATGTTTTTGTTGCCTAGAAGCAACATTTGTGCAACAGTGGGATGGATTTAGCTAGTCACAAGCCAGTTATCACCACTTGAGGGAACATGGATCTATATCATGTCATCCAATTGTTGCACAATGTTGCCTCAAGGCAAAATATCCCAAAAGGACCCCTGCACATGTTATTATTTTAAAAATTATTTGAATTCAATAATGAGGTCAATTTTATAAAAGACAGGTGAATTGTATATATATATATATATTATTTTAATTGCTCTTTTAATGCGTGCCAGACAGATTTAAGTCTAGACACTATCATGTAGGTTCTCTTCACTCGTATTCTAGCTCTGTTGCCCCCAAACCTCCTCCAAAGTGTGAATATTTGCATAATCATTTGCCATTTCTCCATCCTAAATAATGGAATTGTCCCACATTATCTTAGTTGGCCATGCATCTTGGTTCTCCCATAAGACACCCTGCTATCTTCAATCTTCTGTGGTTTATCTTCAGCCACCCATACAGTTATATGTTAATACTGTATGTGGAGTGATCATTTGTAGATGATTAATAAACTGTTAACCTAATCGTATCCCAGGGTTAGGGCTAAGAGTAGGTTTTGGGTTGAGGTTAAGTTTAGCGGCGTGCTTAACACCACTGCATTCGACGCTTTGCATTGCGCATGGTGATGTAAGGCTTGGATGCAGCTGCTTGGCTATGGAAACCCATTCCATGAATCTGAAGGCCAAAAGAAGTTTGGAGGTCTGTAGCGATTGACTCTGCAGAAAGTCGGTGACCGGTGCGCACTATAGACCTCAGCATCCGCTGACCCCGCTCTGTCATTTTACATGGCCGACCACTTCATGGCTGAGTTGTTGTCGGTCTCAATCACTTCCACTTTGTTATAACACCACTGACAGTTGACTGTGGAATATTTAGTAGTGAGGAAATTTCACGACTGGACTTGTTGCACAGGTGGCATCCGATCACGGTACCACGCTGGAATTCACTGAGCTCCTGAGAGCGACTCATTCTTTCACTAATGTTTGTAGAAGCAGTCTGCATATATATGCAGTATAGTGTATCTGTGAGTGGCAAAAGTATGTGAACCTTTGTTTTCAGTATCTGGTGTGACCCACTTGTGCAGCAATAACTGCAACTAAATGTTTACGGTAACTGTTGATTAGTCCTGCACATTGGTTTGGTGCATGACCCACAATTTGAGTTTCAGCTCACAGT